TGACTGATTGCACAGACACTATTGAAGAGAGCTGAACTGATGATGACAACACTGAATCATCAATGAACTGACTTTAGCTGAAAAATGATTTTGCATTATTGACAAACTATTTTCCTGTTTAACACTGTAAAGCTGCTTTGACACAATCAGTATTGTATAAAGCGCTATACAAATAAAGGTGACTTGACTTGACTGGATTCCTCGCTCTGTATGCTCAGAATAGTTTAGTCTGACCACCAGAACCCTTTATGATAGGAAGTCTTGATCTTATGGTCCACATATTCACAGAACACCTTCAAATCCCACAATCCCATACACACTTCCAGAAACCTCCTCTAACTGTTGTGAATAATTATCTCTCTTTATGTCTGTCAAAGACTGTTAGAAACCCCTGCACCGAAATGGAGAATGGAGTTTATGTTGTGCCAATAACATTGTGAGAAAACTTCTATTCAAATGACTAAACTTCTTCAAGTAATGTTTGATATAATTTAACTTACAGATCACCACTAAAGCCAAACAGTAAAGACTTTATGACCGTCAGTATGCTGTAGTAGTTCAGAGAAATGTGGTGTTACCTCTAAAAATAAAATTACCTTTGATCGTGAGTTAAAACGGCCCATCTTAATTCCGTAATGTGGTATATTTTAGTCAAACAGAATATCTAATAAGCAAATATGTAGGACGAGACTTGATGTTATCCATCAGGGATTGATTGGATGATGAAAAGTGGCCGATCCGTACAAGCACAGAGTCAGAGCTGAATGTGAGCGCACAGTGGATCGTGGAGGACTAACTCTCCTCCCGAAACACTGCCGGCACCCACTTCTGAGGAGGCTTTTTGATCGGGATAGAGCATGTGCATGTATCCCTTCTCAAATCTAGCATTACTTGCTATTATTGCTGTAACAATAACGACAAAAGCACCAGATTACTGAATAAACCATTTGCAAGATTTCAGAAGGACTGCTTTACCAACCATAACCAGCTGAAAACAGAGCCTAAATATATTGGTTAACATTAACCAGTAGCCCACATGGTCAAGGCGACACCAGCTGAAGAGTCATTTTGATTAAGGATTAAAACACAAAACAACTGTGCTAATAGTGTGGCCAATTATGATTGTCTGTTCAATATAAATTCAGCTTGTGTCAATCCAGAATTATTTTGAGAGCATGCAAAATGTTTTTATTTGACAGGCAACTCATACTTACCTTTTGAAAAATTCGCTATTAGGTTGCAGGCACAAGAACTGCCAGTAATCCAAACACAGAGCTTTAAATCTTGACATTTTCAGGGCTAAACGCTCAGTCATATGGCAAAATGATCAACCTCCATTTTCACCTGAGAGACGCGAGCCAAAGATTCGTGCAGCAGAGAAGATCTCTGTGTGTGTTACATGCTGTCTGCAGGTCGTGCAATGCTGCGATGAATCTGATGGGCCAAACACACCTGACAGTCCAACCGTCCAGCTTTCTGCTTCCTCCTGCGGCTGTGAAGAACCCAAAGCATCCTCAAGAGCTCACAGCCAAACCCCGTACACTGTGTATCCAGGAGGAGATTCCTACAGCATTCAGCCTCTTTGATAAGGAAACCAGGTCAGCTCCAGATCCACCCTCACTGCATCAGCTTCACATACAGATCCAGCAAACACCCAAAGGATGGAGTCTCTGACATGCACCTCAGCATATTTATCAGATTGACATGCATTTGCTGGCTCTAAGAGTGAACTTCCAGAGTACAGGTGCTCCTTGCTGCAGGATTTTCCTCAGATGTTCCCTACGAGTGCATTTCAGCTACTGCATCCATGAAGAGATCTCCACCTATACATGCTGAATGCCGGTTGCCTGGCAACAACATCACTACTGAACTTGCAAATGGTTTGCTGACAATACTCTGGTGGTTGGGCTGTCAGAGGGGAGCGACTCCCTCATCCTCAATACTACGATGTGATGTACATAAACCACAGTGTATATTAATTCTACTGCATTGAAAAATAGCGCGCTCTTGCAGTAAATAGAGACATGCAAAGCAGCTTTTCTCATCAGACCCATCAGAAAGGCTCAAGTACTCCTCCAAATGGCCATTATTGCAATGATTCACAACAGAAGCAGTTTGAGAAACATAGAGCATTTCGTTTGATATTGGGTGTGATTGGCTGAGAGACATTTGATGGCACATGCCAGCTAACAGGGAATGTTATTTGTACTTGATGAGACATTTTTGTAACCTTTAAATAACATTATAATCACAAGACATGAATCACTAGACATTTCAATGTTGTGGAAACATTTCAAAACAATGTTCTTACAACGTTTTTATTAGCTAAAGTAGACAGGAAAAAGTGTTGTACTGCTATGGGGAAACAAGAGTTTAATGAAAAAGTAAAGTTTTGCCTCTGGAGACGTACTAATTATTATTTTTTATTTTTTTTATTTTGTGTAATAAGTAGATTTTAGAGTGATTGTTGCCTAAAATCCTGCCCCTATTATGCTAGGGTATTGCTAAATGAGGTTGCGAAGAGTATTTGATAGCTTGAAAATATGCTATAGCTGTTCAGGTGTTTGCATTTTGGTCACATCAAAAGAGCACATTCTCAAGATGCAGAAAGGTTAGCTCATTCATTCATTACTTCAAGGCTAAAGCACTTGTAGGTTTTTTTTTTTGTTTTTTTTTGGCTGTTTCCAATAATAAGCTGCGGTTTGTTCAAAACACAGCAGTCAGAATTCTAACAAGGGCCAGAAAACATGACCACATTAGTCCAATATTACCATAAATACACTGCTTATGCATTACATTCAATATCATTTAAAATAAAACACTCTTGTTTCTACTCAAATGTCACTAGACTTGAGAACGCAAAATTTCTAGCAACACTGCATCGGTCGAAATAATGATGTCATACTGTGTAATTCTACATATAATACATCCAACGTGTAAAAACATGCATTATTCTGCTCTTTACTGCAACACTGCAATCATGCAGGCTTATAGTTTGCGTTCTTTTAATTCGACTAAGAGGTCACACCGTAATTTAGCAAACTTCTATTGGTCACACACTTTGGAATGCTGTGAAATTTGCATGAGCGTGTGTTTCCTGTCTCCTGCATTCGCATTCTGAATGGAAGAAAATGCCCCTTTACTGTGGGAATTTGTTGTCTAATAAAGGTTCCTTTTAGACCAATTAGACCCTATCAGTGCTTTGTGTCATAGACAGAGGTAGCATGCAGATACCATCATATTCACTCCATATTTCACTGCACCTTCAAGCTGAAAGCACATGCTTCAGTGTGGGTTGATTAGTGCAGCTCACAGCAGAGACCGTCTCAGTTTATAGCATCATTATTTATCAGTCTGTCCCAGCGTCACAGGGCTCACACACAGACTAGGCATGGGCCGGTATGAGATTTTGACGGTATGATAACCTTAAGCAACAATATCACGGTATCACGGTATTGTCGTTACAGCTCTAAAATGTGTTATTTTTAAATGACTGGATATAAAAAAAAAATTCCGCTGAACACAATATATTTTGTTTTTGAGCAACATACAGAATATTAGGAACAGTAGAATTT